CGCCGGGAGGTGCGGGCCCTGCGGGGTCGCGTCGTGTCCTGGTGCTGCTCGTCCGTGGTCCTTCTCTGCTGAAGCTGAACGTCTTCCTAGCCTGGAGCAGGGACTTGACTTTTGTTGCAAACAGTTAAATGAAGTGACTTTTTGCCTAGTTAAAGATAATTTAGTGGGAAGTTTTCTCTTTAATGGGAAGCTTGCAGATTTCTGAGAGATGCATACTTCTAACGTCTGTTACTCAGGGATTTTGGTGCAATGTGTAACAACACAGGTATCACTTTTAATTTTGGAAATAGTTAATGTATTAGAATTTGTACCTTTTTCATAGCTAATTGGATTTGAAATTGGATCTCATTCTCCTGAATAGATTATGTGCCTGTTTGTGAGTTTCTGCCTGCTATGAGTATGTTTTTCTCTATTCTTGATTACGCCAAGCTAAAAAGAGATGTGGTTTCTTACCAGAGAAACAGTTAATTCAACATAAGACGAAAGTACTCCTTAATAATAAATCTTTAAGAATAATGATATAAAATGAAAGCTTACATAATAAATTTGATAATAGTAAGCTCTTAACTAGATCAATTGTCTACTATAAATAAATCTTTTTGTGCTGAAGTACTGCAGTAACAAGATAACTTTAACTGTTAAACTGTATTTAGTGAGTACAGCTCTGAGAGTCACGTAAAATTTCAGACATCTGAGTCAGTCTCTTAAACGATAAGCCATCATATAATTGGGGGAAAAGAAATGCATGTTTGTTACAAACAAGGTGATTCAAAGATTTGTATGCTAGATTGTATTGTGACCCCTTGATAATTTTTTACGAAGTTATTCCATGCTTATCAAATGCTACTTTGAAGATATTCTTAAATTGTGTAGTATTTTTTTTTTCCTGCTAAAGCATGAATCATGATTTAAATCCAAAATAGTTCCAATATGAATATCCATGTTCCAAGAACTGATAATTTGAACAATGTTTGATGGGTACTGGATTATATCTGAATCATAACTACTTCAAGTGCTCCTCCAGAAGTTTCTGGTAGTACACTTCTGTCATTTGAAAACTGAGAGTGTATTTTTGTAAGTTTAACTGTATCTGAACTGTAATTTACATTGTGATTTTTTTTTTTTTCCTCCTTCACTAATAAAGGTGAAGGTAAACCTGCTTTTTAGCTTAGCAGAAGTCTTACTTGATGTTTTATTTTATCCTTCAGTAACCTTTTTCTACTTTGCTTTTGCATTTCACCTGAAGAGATGCTTCAGGGCTATAAATAGGAATGCCAAAACCCAGTATTTTTACTGTTTGTTTTTTGTGTGTCTTTTTTTTTTTTTTAAACAGTAGTAGAAATAATGTGGGTGGGTATATCTTCATAATGTGCTGTTCTTCTGGTTTATTAAGGTAATTTAATCAGGATTACTACATCATTTGGTTCTAAATGATCTGAACTTGCAAAGAGGATGTTGTCCATTCATGCTGCTTTCTGACAATGAATCTAGCATTAAAATGAAATTTGGATGAGCTATGAGTGAGTTTAATAAGAAATGTGAATCTTCCCCCTGGAAAAAAACTTTTTTTTCCCTGTGGTTAGCTATTCCT